ATTCACAAGAGTTCACTAAGTTGCTTCAAAACCAGAACAGGAAGATAGGCATATTTACCACGACAGAAACAATCTCACAAAATGAAACAAAATCTCAAAAATATCGTGATAACAAAAGGTGTTTTTGTCATGAAAATCAAGTCAAGTGCACCGAACCTGGTATGACAAGGCACGAATTCGACGTCAAAGTGTCTATAAGTAAGTATTTTGAAGCAATATTGGAAGAGTGTTTCTATGGAATAATATGCAATTATTGCATAAAGCTTACAAATCGATATCAGTTTCGGGTCCCCATTTTTATTTCATATTCGAAGTTAAAATAATCAGTGAATATAACCGTGAAATTATTCTATTTTTATGACTAAAGAATATATTACAAACGTAAATAAACGAAAATATGACTGCTGTGTTTGACATGATACAGCTGTTAAATAATGTCTTAACAGTGAATAATTTCACCAAATATAAAATCAACGCAACATAAGTATAAGATAAACATTCTTTGATTTTAAAGTGACTACTTCTCTCTACAATATGTTACATTAATTGAATCTCTATATATACCTGTATCTTCCTTATAACAAATTCCGTTATGAGGTGTAATACTATTAGTACATGACGGTCCTTGTTTCCTTTGTTTAGTTCTACAAGCATAATCCGAGCAAATAATGTTTGACGAGACATTGCGTCAAAAGTTCTAAAACAAGTACAAATTAATACCTTTTCATGGAACGCTACATCTTAATACATTCATTGAGGATGAGACGGATGAATCTCATGGGAGAACAATGTAAGATAATCTAATTTGTGAAATATGATGCAATTTGAATTCAGCTTTGGATTTCAACAATTTACAAAATTATTTTATTTTCAAAAGAATATATGTGTGCTACTATGCACGACATCAATGGAATCTACATGAGAAAACTTCTAACTCTATGTTATCATGATACTATGTTTTTTCTCTAAATGGACGATTCATTTGCTGAATTATCGGCTACACTGACCTCTGACCCTTACAGCTTTAAGACAAAAGGTTCTGGTTTAAGAAAGACAATACACGTATATTGTAATAGGTTACACGGATGGTTTTAATTTGTGCGTTCTGATTACTTTTCCAAAAACACTTTAACAGTCGTTTTACTTTAACAAAGTGTTTATCCATCAATGTCCTGTTTTCCTTGTAACCGGAATTTTCGTTTACTGGAATAATCTTTATATCTTTTTAACTTGACTATGAAAACAAGATGATTGACCGCTCGTTAAATGTGTGACACTTTCAATGACCTATATCTAATAATGGTACACTAATTGGACACTATCTTAACAAGTTCCAATTTAACTTGCATTATTAACGATGGAATAAGTTTAGTTGAATATTGATATATGTATCTAAAAAATCAGTTAATTGACCCACGGATGTCGAGCTGACAGATGTTCCAGAATATCAATAGGTTTTATAAACGAGCTCACATCAGTTTCATGTATAAGAGATTTGTGAAGTGAGTTTTGGAGGATAAGAATTAAAAGAAGTGAAGAGTTTCATAAATCTCATTTGAAATGTAAAGGAATGTTAGATTCTGTTTATCACGTAAGATAGATATACAAGCAAACATTTATGAAAACAGCTTTTTATCAAACTGAAACAAAACTTTGATATATTGACTTTATATATGTTTCTAACACGATCGCTGTACGAGTGATTTCCTGGGGCGTACACATGTTGTAACTAAATAATTGTGAGACTACGGGTGATATTTAAACATATCGAACTTGATATCGCACATATCACTATAAAGAAATCGATAGCGAAAAAATCGATAATGCATTAGCGATAACATGAAACGATAACTATAACTTATATCTGAAACAGAAACTGAAGAGCAGCAATTACGTCATAACACAATATATCGACAGAGGACTAAAATGTACATAATGTGTCTTGTTTTCAGGATTTCTGTTTTTTTAGGGATGCGACGTCGATAATGGTTATATAATGAAAAAAGGTGTCAATATTTGGCTACATTGAGGCTATGAAGGGTAACGATATATCAGTACATGAAGGATATAGGACATGTCAGATATAGAATGCACAAATAAAACAGATTTTCAGACAATTAGGTCTAAATTGTTTCGGAATAGATGCATACATGTACTAACAATTAAAACACATTAGGCCCTTGTTTATAATTTCTGGAATGGATAATTTTTGTATATCAATTTAAATCAATATATGAATCTCTAGTGTATGATAATGATACGATACTTAGGCATTCATTTAAAAGTTTGAGTTTTAATCCTGATTATCAGGGTCATTATCAAAGTTTAGATTTTACCCAGTTTATTACGGTGATATTTAAGTCTGGTTTTAACCCAGATTATCAGAGTCATATCAAAGTTTGGATTTTTAACCAAGTCATCACGGTCATATAAAAGTTTGCACCAAAGCAAGAATCTATCCGAGCTTTTATGACTATAGGTGATAGAGGCTTTGCTTCAATGTTTTTAGCTCTGTGGCGATGTCAGGGGAATCAATGTAACATGTTCGGGTAAGTGATGGAATCAACTCGTCAGTCTAATAAATTAACGTAAGTTATATACTACAGGATTCCATAGGTGTACCATAATAAGATACTAAAAAAACTGAATGGCGTTGTCAAAAACATTATATACCATAAACTGTATTATTTTCTTTTTAACGGTATTTTCGTTTCGCGTTCTAAATTTCAAATTTCATGAAGTAAATACATGTTTGATGAACATAAGTTTCAGAAATACTACAACTGTGTGTTAATCGTGGAATCTACAGATACAAAAGTAGTAAGACTGACCTGTATTATCAAACAATGTAATGAATTGACATTCGATTTCTATCCCGATAATAGGTTTATGATATAGTAACATATAATGGCATATTAAAGATTACATACAGCATTTATATTTGAAATAAATATGTACAGAGTGCGGATTAAAAAACATGGCGAGTTAATTCAACAATTAGGCCAATTAATGAAAATATTTGACGTCATAATGTACATAAGTCATATTATAATATATTATACATGATATATTACATTAATTATATATCACAACACTGAATTTATTATCATCAAGCTGCAATATAATACAGTAAGGGTCAATTTTATGGTGTTCGGTCGCATTTTAACAATCGGGAGCATTTTGTAATACCTCGATTACTGTAATCACCATAAACATGCATTGTTTGGGTATAATTTATATACATCCTTGGCTCAAACATTGGTAAAAGTGGAATTTAAAGAAATGAAAGAGTAATCATACAGCATTTAAAAAAAATCATATATTCAAAACATTCAATTTTATTATAAGGGGATATGTGTGGAGGTTGACATAATATGGCTATGTAACACAATCATTAACGCTTTAGTTTACGTGGCTAGTTGTTGTCCGAAGTCTTAACCTCGGTAGGTGAAACGTTTATACAAAAGTAAAGAAAGCAGCTTGTCAGTGTAGAAAGAGATACATATATATTACCTACACGTGTCTGTAATTGTCATGGCTTAAAGCAAAAGTACAATTTTAGTAATAAGATGACATTCAAAGATTTTTGTGATTTCACAATGAAATCAATACTTTTAAAATATACCATGTTGATACATCAGAATGGAGTCCTCCGTATTCTGTTTAAGACAATATCTGTTTAATGGAGCTGATTTGATATTTTAGAATGGCAAAAGCGTGATAATGTGCCATACATGTCACCGGTATATGGTTTCTCACTTGTCCGAGTATCCGTATAATGACGTCATAATAAATCCATACTTGCACGAGTATCCGTATAGTGACGTCATAATAGATTCATATTTATCCGAATATCCGTATTATGACGTCATACTAAATTCACACTTGTCCGAGTATCCGTGTAATGACGTCATCGTAAATTCACACTTGTCCGAGTATCCGTGTAATGACGTCATAATAAAAGAATTAACATTGCCATCAACACCAAGGGCAACTCCACAAAGTATAATAAAACTAGTTTGTTATAGAAGTCCAATTCGTTACGTTACGTGAAGCAACGTTCATTCATTTTGTAAGATTCCATTCATACAGGTGACACTTGTAAACAATTAATAAAACAGGTTTTTAATGAATGGATTTAACACTCGATATGTTGATTATATAAATAACTCATATATTCTTACAACCATTACAACTTGTCGTCCTGATTTCGTAAACACATACACTTGTTTCTCTCGACAACAGTTTAGAAGTTGTAATGTTTAAATTATTAATAGACACAGACATTTTAAGGGGCAGCAGCTTTCGTCTCTCTTCACTGTATGAAACCATTGCTATAATACAACAACAGCGCATTCGTTGACAGAATCAGAAATATCATTAAGATTAGCAACAATCAAATCTAATCGAAATACACAATTTAATAACACGCAAAGTAGCACTATTATCATGTAAAATCATACACAAAGTAGTTTGTGAATCACTTATGTTTTCCGTGTCCTTAGATGTCATGATGCAGGTAGAAAAATGTAAATATTAAGATAAATCAATTTTCCTTGGAAACATAATCTAGATTACATATACACTACCATGGTTACAATGCCATTAAGTAATAACAGGAGACGATAACGTTAACATAGGTTTGCTCAGCCTTTTAAAACTATGTTCACGAAATATCAATATATCACAAAACGTCATTGTAACCATTTTGAATGTTAAAAAAATATTCTAGGAAACGAGATAAAATCTTGTAATACAGTGATAACCATTATTTTATTAAGATACATCCGTGGAAAGTAGCAACTCATCATAAAAAAACATGAGATACGTTTCTTCATTTTTTCCTCTATTCTAAACCTAAGTTGAGAGTTCAATATTTGAGCGATACACACTCAATGATATAAAATAAATGAAACAAATTTGAAATGAACACCACAAAGAGATTTGACAACAGCCAAAAAGCACGTGATTGACATTGTTGTAAAATGTTAGCATTTCCTTTATATATCCGCTTCCATTTGTTGTTCTTCATTGTTGTTCATCGCTGTAATTTCATCACATGATAAGTCGTCGAAGCTATCGTTGAATACGTCATTAAAAGTTGTCTGCGTCATTTGGGTGTTTGGAGGAGCCACCGGAACTGGGTTGGTAAACATTCCTCCATTCGGAAGTGGTAGTGGAAAGCTTCCGAATGAATTTTGGCGGTCATAACAGGGGCGTGAAGACAGTGAAGGTTTGTTGCTGGCACAGGACGCCCCCTTACGGACATTTTTATGTGGCTGAAGTAGCACTATGTACATTTTTGGTGCAAACAAACACACCAGCGCGACCGTGGCACTAATGCTCACACACATACAAAGGGAGGTAACTTCAATCTGAAACAAAAATAAACGTATTTTATTCTATATAAAACGTGTGAAAAAAAATAATGTAAGACATAGCAGTAATGGCCTCTTTGGAGGCGGAACAAACACATCTTTATAGAAATGGATTTAATATGTTATATATTATCATTACACAAACAACAATCACCTCTTAGGACCCAGTTTGAAAATATGATTACAGTTCATTATGTAGCCTTATGGTGGTATGCACACATTGACGTCACCTGCAGTTACTTGTTTAAACAAAGATAATTGCCGGATGTATTCAGTATAATTCACACAAGATATGTTTATGACAGCCAAATGTTGTCAGTTGTGAGGTAAAAATCAGGTGAAATGGTGCTTAGGACTATTCGAAATTATACAGTTAGGGGGTGTCTTAAAACTGAGACAACCACTACAAAGATATCCAGCGATTTTAGCGAGGTTTGCCTTAATGTCTTAAAGGCTTAAAGCCTCTAATGGAGGGTTGAAATATTTGGGAGATCAGTACGCCGTGTATAATGACACATACTGATGTATGCCTATGTTGTACTGTTGTTACTCCGTTTGTATCGACGTTTTCTCATTAATAACAACTATCTTGAAATCAAACCCTTTGATCATGATGGAAACAGATACCTCTTTTATATCTTACAATGAAGATTTAATTATCCAGTATAATTTTATCTTCAATTACAAAAAGAGCATGTTGTTTCCAATAAATTTAAGAGCTCTTGTTATCAAATGAATGAGAATCTGTGAGTCCGAACCTACAGCATTACTTGACAAGGGATGTTGCAGTTTTGTTGTCCTAAATTCATTGTATTTTGTATTGAAAGGTGTTCCTGCGTATCATAAAGAATTTCCCTCGCCTAGCAATATTTCGTTTTAAATATACAAAATGATAAAGACAAAGAACAGACATTGACAACAGATAAAATATATTCAATACTTCCTTGGTATGTAATTTTAGTGTACGAATTTCCATACATACCGCATTACCAAGATATATATATTAATTAAGATCAGTTTGATTTATAAGCAAACACGAGTTTCACCTCAGTTTGCAGATCAATGACCAACTAAAGCGCAAGCATATATGTACTTCAGATGTTACAAAGGTGTGTTTAATATCACAACACCCAACTATTTGCTTGTTATCTGCGGTGAGATTAACAAATCAGTTGTTACTATCAAGATCACCTTGTCAGAAAGGCCATTTTATCCAATCCTGAGATGGTCTAAATCACAGGATTAATTTTCACTCTGATATATTCTTAACAACACGAGATAAATCAACAGATATTATCTTACACAAATTAGTTAGATATTTTTTTAGCTTTTGTTGCTAATGTCTTAAAATAGATATAATATATTTGCTACGCTTATACACTATACTAAATAAAGACATCATTAGATGATTGAAACATATCGATACTAGTTAATGTATATGGGATATTCTGCTTTTAAGCATGAGAGACTTGGATTCATCTTTTCCATAACACGCAATCGGAATGTTCGCTCTGCTTGTGATTAAGCCATTGGTTTAATTCTAATATCTGGAAACATTGCCAATATTGGAAATTAAGTTGCTATTTGTTAATATTGATAGACCTCTGACAGAACCTAACAGTATTCCGAGATTCCATGAATATACGTGCTAATTATCTTGTGTCGATTTTACATGGTGGCTACTCAAGCAGAAATGTCTACTCGCGGATCAATATACCTCGTTTATTACCGTTCTTATCAGAGGTATTCAGAAAGAAAAACATAATCCTATGTAAAAAGCCTCATCGCTGACATTAACAAACAACAGCATATAAGGAAATGGCGTATCCTTTTTTAACTAAAAGATTTCAAATTTACGACCAGGTATCTTGTTATTCCAAATTAGTATCATAACATTCTTAGTCATTGTCTAATATCATATTATAGGATTTCATTGTACTTTGGGATGAGAAGGTTGGTAAGAAAGACATTTTAACATCATGGGGAGATCAAAGCTTTTAAAATGTATCAAGATGTTGGCAGGACATTAAATAAAGGCAACAAAAAAGAGATCAGAGACTGCTCAGTGGTTAGCAGGAGGTGATATAGACTTCAAATTACCTGAGTGGAAATAGCAAACGTCAGCACAATATAATCACTTCACGAGATATTGACAAACGATGCTAGACCGTCGACACAATCACGCAAATATGATACACTGGCAGGTCAACGGATTTTTCATTCCAATTTTAAATATGAATAAAATAATTTATGCCGGTACATCTGACAGGTACAAAAGGAAAAATACCAGGTGTTCCAAAGGGGTAAGCATCGCCTGTATCATCGACGACACCCGCCATCTAAACTTGGTCAATCCAAGAAAGTGAAAAAAAGGGATTTTGCGGAAGACCATACACTTCCTTCAGTATTTCTGTATGAACTTATGATGTCATTCTCTAGTTAAACAGTCAACACTGTTTGACGCTATATACAACACTATTTGACTTCTATGTAAAGATATGACGCTTTCACAGCATATTTTATATTTACAAAGACAAGACACCTCAGTTTTGTAAATAAGAAGCAATACATCCTGTTCAGACACTAAACCTAATTGGAATACACACTATGGATTTATATCATAATTTTTATATTATAAACACAATATGAAAATAATAGATGTATTTTGACCACTTGGCATACAGTATCTGGAGGATCAATAAAGATTTTACCTTCAAATTTCATAATTCTATAATAGGATAGGTCATTATGCTTTTAGAAAACTAATTAAAAGTGGTGTTACATACAATTTTTTTTATGATAATTTATTAATCTTCACAGAGATTTATAAATATTTGATCAATGATGCAGGAAAATTGCTATTTAATATAAATTCTGCTAATACTGCTTTCTTTCTTTGTGAAACTGAAGTAATGATCTGTTCATCAATATTAATAATCTCTATATCTCACACGTGAGAGTGATTTACATTTACCAAATTTGTAGGCGTTCTTTGAATAACGACAAAAATCAATCTATGTGGCAAATCAATAAGTAGCATATCGATTTGGAAAATCCCGAATCCCAGAGGCTTTTGTCATATCTATGGTACCTATGATAAAAAATTACGTCTTTCTATAAACCGAATCTTTACAACATTATTATTATTTTCATACAAAATTTCCCCATGATAGTAACAGTATCCTTTCATATCATTATAAAAGGTTACGTGATCAATAGAAGTTAAGATTGTGTCACTACGTCGACTTACAATTACATTAGATTTCCAGTCTGTGAAGCAGAACAAGCTTACTGTTGTAGAACACCTGATGTAATCTCCTTGAATTGGTCTAAGAGTATCTATGTAAATCTCTCATCTCTTTCCTTCTTCCTTCATTGTTTAGTCCACATTGCGCTTGATTTTGACAACATATTGACGTTCTACTGTTTGAAGTCAAATATTAATATAGTATCCGCAAACTTACCATGAAGAATGAACAAATACTTACTGTTAAAACTGTGACTGATGTAAATAGATATAATTTCTGTGATTGGTTAATATCATATGTGATAAAAAGCCCCCCGTCCTCCCTCCCCACCCCTCACCAAAAAAAAAAAAGTATCGAAATGAAAATTCCTATAGCTGTACAAAAAGCAAATACGAGGACAAGAAAAATGTTTGAAGAGTTAAACAATTGTAGGGGCTTCTGACAACATTGTTGTATAAAATGATTGATTCATAAAATGTAACCAGGTGAAGATTTCTTTTCTTTTTCAAGAAAATTGTTTCTATCACAATATACGATTGTTATTGAACTCTTGTGGTATCAACTGATTATTGAAAATTCTATAAGCATTGAATTGACTAAATGCGTTTTGCTGACTGACAGGTTGAACTTTGACCTGATTCGCTCTTTAAGCTCTTCTTGATATCAAATAGGGCAATACTAGCACACCTTTATTTTTTGTAATCATTTAACTTTGAAATACATTTCTATGAATTTATTGCCTCGAAGACAATAAACCCGTTGATAACTTGATATGACTTGCTATTCCTACAAATTAACAGCATTTTACTACAGGTTACATGCCATAACACCTTAACAGAACATATCTTGGTACAAAGAGGTTATTGCGGAATAGCTTTTTTAAGAGTGATAGAAACTTGTCGCACAATCTCATGGTTGTTGTGCATAGTATATTTCTTCCGCTCGCTCTTGTTATTTTTTAATGTTTCAAAAGCTAATGTTTTTGTGACTTTTGAAAAATAACTAATTCAGGTGAAATAAATACCATATGCAACAACGACTTGTTATCCACATAATTGGATTCCATTACAATATTTCGGCTATCTTTGTGATTGTTGAACGGTTGTTTCAAGATTTTGTTCTATACACTGTAATTTCACTTTTAAAGATTATCACATATATGCAAATTTATTTAAATGGAGACTGGATTTGAAATTCAAAGTATTAATAGAAGCTGCAATTATGGGTACACAAATTCGACACTGTCTGTTTTAAATAAACATCCAGGCTTGAATTTCGTTTTTCTCTTTTGCAGGATTAGTAACACAAATTCCAGCATCCAGACATAAACAGCCGAGAGTTCGTGTAGAAAATGAATCACCTACACTTAAATGCATATATCAACGTCTTTGGAAGCCATTTTGTGCCGTAATCTAGGAAATAAAACAAATTCAATACGGAGGAGAATGCCCGTTTCCATACAAATGTTGCACGTTGTCTCGTTTTCTTGCAGAAAATAAGTCTAAAACATTGTGGTTACGTAACGTCATGTGGAATCTTTTCGCATTTAAAATCCGTATATAATTGGTGACAAGGGAAGTAATTAAAATGTGACGAAATTAAAGTGTCAGGTGCCAGCAATGTGTTGGACTTTAAGTGGATTAACGCACATTAAACGGGTTACAGGATGAGGGATTGAACCTCTGGGATGAACAGCGATCTGCAACCTTTGTTAGGAGAACACATTCTCTCGGAGAAATTCTCATCTTTCAGTCACCTATAGGCAAGCGGTCTTATTAACTCACACTCAATCAAATCACTTGTAAATCTATTTAAATATATTTACTGGTATTTGGAAGGAAGTATTTGTTTATATTATTTTTTTAATTTGGAAATAGTCATTGAACGGATGATATCTTTATGCGGACAAGATAGCTGTAGAGCGTAGTAATGCTAGATAAAATATTGTTTTATCAATCAATTTGATTAATTTTTATCATTTCTCGTTTTCTATTTCCAACAAATTCGTCTTTACCAAATCATTTTAGAAGATATTTGCTGAAAAGAGGCAAAACAATGACATGGTGTAAATTGGTGATTAACGTTCCAATAAGAGTTCTCACTTCAATACTTGTGAACTATTGCATAAACTCAATTTATATAGAACATTATGAAATGCTGGTTTAGTTAACGAATGATTGACAAATCTCTCTCGTTGTTTAAATTACACTACTAGATAACTTAGATGTCATTTTAATCAATTTCAGATGACATTTATCTGATTTACAAAAGAAAATAAACATATTGTCATACAATCCATTAGCCATTTCAGAAGTGATCAAAGCGGCTTCTTGAAATGCAATTTTCGGAGGCTATCAAAATATTGATATTAATCATGTACTATAATTATCAAAAATATTTGTTTAAAAGGAAATTTGATTTCATTAGTCTGTTAAAACGTACGCTTCAAAAGATATCGTTAATCACCCGAGATAACAATTAACCGATACAAATTGTGCAAACGCGACATAATGTTAAGAACTATATATTTTTAAATACCTATGGTGTTGTTCCGCGTGCTGAGGATTCTCGTGTCACGGTTATTCTTACGTTTATATAATGTATTGGTTTTTGCAAAAATAACACGAGACGAAACAAAATGTTAGGGATTCATTGTGCTAAATAGGGAAATAAAACATAGAAGTAATTCAGAGCAACCAAAATGTCAATCTACACAACGGTATTCCCGAGGGCTTTCTTAAACGGTTTTATCGTTGATGCAAAGAGTTGATCATTGGGCTGTTTGGTTATGCGTCGCATTTGAAGGCTTTTTACTCTAAACATATTCTAAAACTCACATTAATCAATGAGCTCATATTAACCCATTATAAAGTTCGTAGGCTGTTCAGATTTAAAATTTCATATTGCTACGAACATGTGAAATAAAAATGAATTTTTGATAAATGAGTTTAGTGGTCTGAGGATTTAGATGATCAATCATTTCCTGAAGTTAAATATCGCAACGACGAAGATTTCCTATCACTACCCACATTCGGTCTCTATACAGGCACGAATGTAGGGAGTTCACAGATCAACCTCAAAGAGATTAAGCATTGCATGATTTTGGCATCTGACATTTAAACGAAAACATGTTTTGACACATTTTGCCGCTCTAAGTGACAATTTGATAGATATGTAATACATCAGAAAACGATTCATCGTTAGAACAAATATATATGTATACAAAAATAAAGGCGAAGAGCATATGTCCTGCAAAAAAGTTTTATCGTTAACGTGCCGATAAGCATATATATATCAGTACAACGAAGTGACAGCGCTCTCATTACTATCCAAAACAAATTGCTTTTTCCTAGCCTTCAGCTTTTATACTGTACAAACATGAACATTTTAAAGAAAATACGGGAAAAATCTCCCACCTTAAATACGATCTTCAATCAATGTCAAAGAAGTTATCAAATTTTATGTTCAAATGTAGGTTTAATCATATAAAGTATCATTTATCGGTACTTTGGCGATATAGATGTGTCTTGTTTGGAATTAAATTGATACATTTGATACACAGAATACAAATAAGCGAAAATCTGACTAGTTTTTATAGCTGCATTGTCGGAACAGGAAAAATTTATTTCAAATCTAAGTAACATGACTATATTTTATACCTAAAATTGAAGTTTACCACACAAAGAGTAGTAAATATTTTCTCGTAAATATTAGGACGTATTTGATCTGTTTTCTGTTTCAAAAAAGATCCTTTTGAAAAAGAAAACAGAATTTGAAAGAAAAAAGTAAACTATAATATTTTTATTTGTCCCTGCGGTGATAACATCGAAAATCGATGAAGAAAAAAAAAAAAAAAAGAGGTGTTATTCAGACAAATAAAGATTAACATAAGATCTAAGTGTATTTCAAATTCTAAGTACTGTGTATGACAAATTCGAATTAATACGAATACATGCTGTTATTAACATATCTCGCGTTATTTAGACATTTAAATTGTGTTACCAATAAATGTTTCCAAAAAGACCTAAAGAGGTAAAAAAAAATCCTTTTTTCTTCTCATTTTTGAGATCGCAGTTCCACATAGAGCTACAGTGTCAAAGCTACTACAAAAATATATGCCTTATTATGCCAATGAAATAAGAGACATGCTTACCTTGAAGTCACTACTCGCCCCAAAGTAGATTGGAATGAAGGCAAGCCAGACGATGCAAGTGCTGTACATGGTAAATGCTATACATTTAGCTTCATTATAATTTTGCGGAATCTTGCGTGTTTTTATCCCGTACACGGTACAAATGATGATTAAAAGTATATTGTACATCAATGATACGATGATGGCGATTTGGCTGGCTCTGCACTTGAGAACTAAGAAAGTACTTTGTTGAAAATCATACGTAGTCGCTGGTTTTTCAAAGCCGAGCCACGTCAGTCCTCCTACAATCTGTACAGACACCATACTCATACATATAAAAATCTGTGATCTAGGGCTTGTATATGATGGTCGTTTGACCATTGCTTTGATACCGTTGTTAAAAATTCTATATATCCTGTTAGTTTTCGTCAACATGGCAGCGTATATAAGACACAGCGACACTCCTAATCCAAGTCTCCGTAATGTACAAAGAACTATGGAAGGTCGGATCAGCATGATCAAGGAGGTTCCATAAGCCATGGAAATCCCAATTAAAAGAACATAGCATAGCTCCCGACCTGACGCCATGATAACTGGTGTAGAGTTGTAACGAATAAACACAGCAACCACTAGGATAGTACACACGATTCCAAAACTCGAAAACACAATGGGAAGAATCACCCACAAGCTGTCCCATTCGAGATGTAATACCGGAAGTCGAACGCACGTGGTTTTATTCACATTCGGGTGAAATCCTTCCGGACATTCCGTACATGTGAATTCATCTTCAAGATATTCGTTGTCCGCACATTGAATGCATGCCCAGCAGCAGCTCTCACCCTTTTCAAGTTTAGTGGAGCCAAATGGACACGGATCACTGCAAACGGATTTCGGAAGTTCACCTGTTTCCTTGCTCCACTTGATCAGACTAGTATTGAGTTTAAGACTAAAAAAAAGAAAGAAATTAAACAACAACATACTGAAAGCTGCTAACTCATCAAGTAATAATATGAGCTAGGCCAATACAAGGTCAACTGTATGCCAATTAGTTTTATCAAATAACCATAACAGCAAAAAAAAAATAATAATAAAAATCGTGGGATTTTTACAACGTTACAGTAGTTGTAATGTATTACTTTGGATGGATTTCAAGCAAAATATGGAATAATTAATCTTTTGTTTCACGTAAAAGAAGGACAGCTAAATTAGATTAACGAACTATCAACAAATGTATAGCATGAATTGTATTGAATAGTTATTATAATGAGAAAATAAAGTATTTGATTTGAGTTGGTAATGTATAACGGTTATTTCTTTTTTTAAAAAATCACTTAAGTATTATATACATATTGACCGATTGATACCAGTAGATAATAAATAACAACACAAATAAATTAACTGACACGGGCAAGTCTTCCAGTGTCAGATCCCATATCATCTTGTTCGATCATAACAGTCACCTATTACGTTGTCTTGTAAGCATTATTCCATCGACAATACTTTATAAAAAGTTGATTTTAAACATATCTTAAAACACACCATGACAAGTCGTAAGATGTTCTTGATCTAGTTTAACAGTGGGTATTTACAGCTATGTATATGGGTCTTTAAAACAATTAAAATGCCTCGCCCTCATTTTCCCAGAAGCACATAAAGGAGCTATGTGAACATGGTTTTGTGTCGATTCTCATGTCACATGTTTTGCTTCTAGTAGCGTCATATACCAATACGAATGTTTAATGGATAGCAGAAAGGACAAAAATTAATTGCTCCTTTCAAAGAAACTTCAGCAAAGGAATCAGAAAAAATAAATGAGAGTGTGATGATAGAGGACTACAATGTTTAAATTTATAGAGCAAAAACCCAGGTGTACCGGAAGGATAGGCGTCTTTTGCTTCATCTTGATCTATTGAAGCACGTAGTATGACGTTCCCGAATATGGACAATGTAAACCATCCGTTATGCCAAAGAGCATCACCAACAGATCCAATTAAAACCAAAACAAAAAGAAAATGTATCATTTCTAACCATCCTTTCGTCATTTAGTTATTCATTTTGTCCCATTTGCACGTTAGCAAATGCAAATATAATTTACTTTTGCTAGAACCTCTTCTTGCAATGTCAAACACCATGGATTGTGCAGAATGGGCTATTGATTTGGCGTTTTAAAGAGGTAAAGTGAGGTAATTTAGAAATTTCTGTAATAAAAATATTCAGGAACGTTATAAAATTCACCAGTAATTAAGTAACTGAGATTACTCTTTATAGTAAACCAAAACCTGAAAAAATATCTGTTATACCTTCATTCATGGATATGTCAATTACCAGATATGTGCAATATTCATTTCAGCATAATATGATATGATCTGATTTAGGTATGCTGTTAATTGCAATTTAGTTCTAGGATCTTACTAAAGGATTCCCTAATATAATCACGACAGTTTCCTTATACAACTTCCAACGAAATTTCTTTCTTTTCCATAGGAAGCTTCATACGTTTTCTCTCCGGATTTTGTAATCATTCAAATATATGCAAATGGATAAGAATTGGGTTCGTCATGGCGAGATCTTTACTGTCATGGTTCGCGAACAAATCGTGGATGTTTTCATTCTGGTCTGTGTGAGGGCAGACTTGACAATTCTTCCGGTATCGCTACATCACTTGGTAAACAAAGTATGACAGCTGCTCATCTCTGCCGATCTAAATTTGTCAGATATTCAGAATCGGTGAGAAGTACGTATGAAAGAAACTATTGTGTTTTGCGTGGCCAAGATTGTCCACGTCGATGGCCGGACTGATCGCGCCGTTGACCAATACTCATTCTGTATATTAATCAGACGTTTTCAGTGTAAAGTTTGGTCAGCTTTAGACATATATTTTTTTTACATTTTCTTTCGCTATTTTTGAGTGGGCAACTTTTTTCCTTGTAAACGATTTCAATATTTCAAAAGTGCAGCTGATTTCTTTGAAATCTGTTTTGTTTGGGTGAAATTGGTAGCGACTTATCAGACTGTTGTTGGAGGAACAACTGACAACCTGAAGTGCTGCTAGCTATCAAATGTTACAGCTTGCGCTTGGCTTTCATCTCTCTAGTAAGCAAGAAGATTTTGTTTGTTGAAGAATATTGAATGTCCGTCGACCAAATTTGTCCTCAAATATGATTGACTAACATCGTGGAATTTATATCCAAGATGACGCAAGCTATTTACAGTCTTTGTGGGAGTGAGTGGAAGTCTTCTGTAAACTTCTATCATACAATCTGCTCACACAAAAGCCAAAGAAATGGACATTGGCAGCTTTTATTATTGAATACCTCTGAAAGTTTATTGTCTTAATATCTATGTCTGTAAATTGCATCTTACTTCATTGGAATGAGAAATGTGATACATAGTATGATAATTTTCATTTGTGACATTGTCTCATGAATGTGTTGTATGTAGGTAAGATAGATACCAATGGTGCATTTTGGGTTAATTGACACCTTTGTGTGTGTGTTTTTTTCTTATTCTATTTTGCGTCGTTTTTTATTTCTGTCTCTTGTTTATTGTTATTGTTTTGTTATTTTGTTTGTTTTATTATATAAGAGGGTGAGGGGATGTGTTGTTCTTGTTTCTTTCTCCAAAAATTCTATGTAAAGCAAGTGGAACACAAATATCGGCTTTCCAAAACCTACTCAAAGTGATCGTCCAATGTATGTCTTGTACGCCATTTTGTATGTATATATAAAACACATGATTTTACGCAAAAATAAATTTACTGTCTATGTATAGTATGGAACAAAACAAAATGACAGGAAACTCAAGAGCGGTAAGTGTTTAGAATTAATTGTCAGAAAAAAACATAACAAGGTTCTGTGCAGACATTCCCAAAAATCTGTGTTTTTTAAAAAATAGGAATGTCTTCCATGACGTTGTAACTGAAATGAACCACTTTATGGATTGCATTATAGAATTGACTAATTATTAGACACATGTTAATTGGCAAGGGTTAGGGATAGGGTAACGTCGATATGATTGATCCAAACCAACGATACTTTTTAATAACGAACAACATGTGATAATTATAGCTTGAATGATATTTGCGACTGACTCTTATCTGAGAATATGAAAAAAAAAACCTGACCGCCAGATTAACAATAGAATGGCCACAGTTGATTAACGGCCAATACCCAAAGGTGGTTTGCCTACTCAATTCATGCTACAAACTACATATTCCTGTAAGGTTATCCTAATGAAAAAGGCTAAAAACAATTTAGTATAGAAAAAACAGCAAATTGATTTCTTCCTTATAATGAGGTTGTTGGTAGGTCTGATTAACAGGAAATAAATAAACAAGTATACCTATATAATCCGGCCCTTCTGACAGTCTAGTTATTAACTATAAATTGACTCTGTACATACACATGTTTATACACCAGTCTCGAGAAACAAACATTAGACAGAATAAAAAAATAGCTCCTGGCAGACAGACAACACATGCTCAATATCATGTAATAGTTTAATTTAGAAACAATCGTTAAAGAGGTATACACTAAGGGACGTAAGGATGATGTCAAACAAATAGGTCTGTATCGTCTGCACTGATTATTTTGTAAACATTTCCCAATTCCAATTTATGTATTACAAGGCAATGCATAGTCCTGTGTTGAAATGTCTGTCAAAACATAGCAAACCGTATTGGATTTTAGTTGCAGTACATATGCAACTCAACGTAAATCATTTAATGATTAAAAATAGTTTAAGGAGTTCATCTTTGAGAGCAAACACTTGCCAAAGCCTTGTTGTCGTTCCATCAATGAACGTATATCACACTTGGTGTCTACAGGGTTAAATTGTGTTAGTTCATCAAGAGTATATGTAATAAATAATTAGAAAGGCACACGCATATCTGTATTAATATCACTTTTGCTGTCGTCAACATGCGCTCATTGAATATAAAGTTAGATGCATTTGATGCTCGTTAGTATGTCAGGTGGTTCCATTGTTGCTAATTGTTATTGTCCCATTTCTTAGTTATCATTAAGTCACCCCACTAAGCATACGTGATCAGTATTCTGCCTATTAGTGCACCTAACCTTTGCTCATGTCTTACTTTCAAGAAAGCCGCCGTTGGACGGATAGTGGGGTGTCTTCCGCTATCGTCCATAATTGCAATTCTAGTTCTTTTAAAAGAGATATATACCCATTTTGTGACTTAATCACATATACAATTAGTAAAAATATAATTGCAAGCAGTTGTTTTCTCCTTCTAGGACTTTCCAAGTACGTTTAGAGCAATAGAAGGACAATAACAGTGACATTTGACGGCGAAGAGTTTTGAGATAGGGTCAATTTACAGCAGGCACTGGTGTGAAGTATGTATCGACCTACATGGCTTTTCCATTCGTTTTGGTGGGGTATCAGTTCTACGATTGCTTATCTAACAACGTGGACCTGCAAGTCTGATCGTCTCCTTTAAGTCCATATTCTACTCAACTTGTCTTCGATCATTTAAAGACTTCCTTCACAGAAAAGTTTTATCTCCGGAATCAATGAGAACGTTTGCTAATGAATCGTTGGTGTTTTAAATGCTACTCATTACCTGTAACATGTTTACATACCTGTCTGTCCAATCTCCAATCAAAACATACTCGAAGCGTCCGTCGTCCCGGGCTTGGTATTGATAAATGTCATACTTCCCAAGACCGTCTCCCTTCTCGTTAAAACGAACAGTGTCTCCGCTTATGCCTTTTTCATAGAAGAATGTTTTTAATCAGTAATCATTAATGTAATTCAACATGTATCAATTACACTTTGTCAATAATATATATACATTGTTCAATATCCTATGACGTTAAAGATTTGTTAAGTACATACTTATACAGATTTATGTTTCCAATCAGAATAACAATGTTATATTTATTATTATAATAATATATAAAATATGATATTAATAGCCGACGATACATAAATGATACATAAGAAATCATTATTGTCTTCCTATTGATACTTGTACAATGTCATATCCTACAAGCAAGTCTTATTATGTAATTGTAACCTGATTATTTATCCACTGTAATAATTATATATATATATATATATATATATATATATATATAATGCTGTATGTTATATCGACGGTATGGTCCAATATTGATTCTGGATCCTTATAAACAAATGTGCGTTGGATGCGTATAATTGGAATCGATATATGATCAATGACGTAATAACGACAGTACGGTCAAGCGAAGTGTCAAATTTTCGAGGCAATTTGCCCCTTTATCAAGACGCAAATATTATATAAATTACATCAGATACATAAAACTTAAATCGAGAGCGGTAGTCTTAATTTAAGTGTCTCAATAATCCCTTCGGACGATGAACGCCAAAGGCCTTTTATAAAGGACATAAATGTCCTAAATTGTATTAAAGATGATGATCAAAAAATTAAAAATGTTTTATATAAATCTAGGTATGTTTTTAACTGTAGACACTGAGTGTATATGTGACCGCAACGAAACAATTGCATGTCACACTCCGAGGGAAGTAGTCTACCGGCACATGTCGGCCACTCTCTAAACAAGGAATTGTTTCATTGAATATGTAAGAAAATTTATGATAAAAATATCATAAATGTAGTAGTAGTTACAATAAATGTGTTTTGACAAATATCACCTGTTAAATACACATTATATATATATATATATATTTACAATGTTATTTTGGAGTTGGTCAAATAGACCATAATTCGTATAATATATCTATATTTATATATGGAAAAGTGCAATCTGCGAAAAAACATGACCACAAATATTAGTCCGTTTTCAACACATGTCGTGAAAGCTTGACTTTTTTATGCCTTATTCTTCCATCATAAGTGATTTTTTCTCAGTGAATATTCCGAAATCAAATTTCGTAATGATTCCAATTAACCAGAATAATAATCAATAAAATCATTTAACAAATGCCCTATCACTATAACTGGCTAATTATAGAAGCCAGCCGAGTTTCCGTAAACATAATAATAAAAAACGGATCATTACCAGTCACGACATAACGTGAGTATAAATCAATTGGACAGGTAAGATATTTAATTAGAGTTACAAAACAGGAGCACGTGATGATAGAACAGCTTTAATGTACCGCCGACACAGACGGTTTCAGTAGGCATTATACGGTGACATATAGTTCAAATAATATCATACAATCCCTGTTATATATTTTAAATGTGCTCCCACTATCATTCTTTGACAAAATCCTATTTTTGATTCATACAACAGTGAATCAACATCAGCACGGAATATTAAGATAGTTCGTATCTTAACTGACCACTGCTTAAATTGTTTTGTCTTTAAAAAAGGCAACACTGAATGAATCATGACGAAATATAAACTAATTAATTCTTCACTACACGTGTACGTGTAGTAAGAACTTTTTCTGAAAACGTACATTCACAATTTAACTGTCAATAGTAATGGTGTATATGCTCAATATCCGTTTATTTTCCTAAATAAAGCAGATATTGCTAAAAAAATAAGCTTTTTAATGTAAATGAATCGGACCTGACCTACGTGGACAATTTTCCCATTTGATGTGATATAGAAAAGCAATGGCGTTGCCATTCCACCTACAGAAACGCTGAACACAAAGCCAAGATACTAAAACTGTTGAAATAGGTAATGGTATATAGAAAAAAGTATTAACCATATTATCAGTATTATTCTTTTCTTACAACAACAGTAATGATAGTAACTATTTATAGAGAACAAATGACAATATTCTTTCCCATTTTGCTGTCAAGGGTATATATCATTACAGCAGTAAAGATATAGAAATCAATGACGCATTCCACACCACCTGTCTAAGACGGAGTGGATTTGTATATGAACTATCAACGACAGACTACGCCAAGAGGACAAATACTCATGAAAAGGAAATGAAGTACTTGAGAGACATCCCGAGTCAACAGATATAAATTCATGTTATGACGACTATCGAAAACAGATCATTGTATTGCAATTAACTAGTTTTGAAAGCACGGATTTACGGACAAATAAATATCGCCCTACACAGGATAAGGGATATTATATGTAGGACTTCGATATGAACGTTACGTGTCTGATACAGCAGAGAATGTGATCCTTATTGCTCAATATGGGAAAGCAATATTCCTGACATCAGCAAGAATTTCTGCTTTGCAACTCACACGAAGAAGCACTTATTCCTGATACAGGAGCGAATTTCTCTCTCTCTCTTGTAACTCACATGGAAAGCAACATTCTTGATATAGGTGATAAGTTCCCTGCTTTGTAATTCATATGGGAAAGTAACATTCAGGATACAGGAGAGAATTCCCCTGCCTTGTAATTCACATAGAAAAGTAGGCAAGAATATACTTGAAGTAGCATTCCAATTACAGACGAGAAGTTCCCTGCCTTCTTATTTACCTGGGAAAGTGACAAATATCGGTGATAACTTCCCTACTTATGAACTCATCATTGTCATTCTTGATGTCGGCAAGAATTTCTTTGTCTCCCATGGAAAAGTAGTATTAATAAATTTTATAATAATCCTTCATTATAACCGATCAGGTAAACTCCCTGATGTAAACCAGCATATCTTCGGCTTGTTCATGTATCTCACCTGTGAAAGTAACATGTTCTACGGTAAGTTCTTTGGCTTATTACTTACCTTGAAAAGTAACATTCCTGATGTAGGCAAGAATTTCCTTTCCTGATAAGTTACAATGTTTGTATTGTCCTTTACATTTATCTGCCAGTAGCTCATGTAGCGCATATGCCAATGCGTATACAGAGTCTATGACAAATTGTACAAGTCCCTCCTGCTCGTAACCAACACTTAGGCTTCGGAGGTTTTCTTTGCCTGCGAAAATGCAAATCACCTGTAGCTACTTTTGTGCGTATTCATACAGCGTTATCTTGGAAAACAAAATGCAGCTAATATAAGTAATTCAAGATATCGCTTCTGACAAATATTCCTTTTTAAGCTAATCCCTAATTACAAAGTCATCAAACAATACATATGAGGTTTTGACGTCTCAGATAAATAAGATGACATTATATGATATATTTTAATACATTTTAGTTTAATTTCTTCAGGTAATATTCAAAAGGTTTCAAAGAGATACACAAGTAATTATCTTCTTTCCATTTTCAATATAAATCTAGCATCTCCCATTAAAAGATAAAATTATCAAACAGCTGAGAGTTGTTGTCCTTCTTTTACTTTGTAGCATTGTTGGGAACATAAGATATTGAATTTGCTCAAATTCACTATTTTGTTAAAAAACAAATTGGAGGAAAATAATTATTCTCCAGTTTTCATGAAAACTTTAAAAACCCTGGAAGATCGTTTTAAATTTGACCTTGACATTTAAGCATGTCTTATATTGAATTGGATTGAAAACGAATAATTTATAGAGAAAAGTCTAATCGTGGTCTATGCCATGGTATTTGAAACTGAAACTACTTTTATTTGTTCAACTATGCATTAACTGATTTAGTTTTACAATACTAACAAAGGTTATTTTAAAAGTATATTCGATGAAATAAAGGTTGTGCGTACCAGAACAGCGTTTCCTCGTCTTGGAATCTCGGCTGATGCTACAGTTGAAAATTGTTTCCCAGTATTCAGCAAACCAAGGATTTTTTTTATTGTGTTTGGGGGAAAGGTTCAAGAAATAGTCATCAAATTCTACAAGATAATAAACCATAATGTTATTAATAAATTCCTATAATCTATTGGCGAAATTCCAATGTATCAGAAATACCAACGTATTTTATATAAACTAACAAGTTTTGTTCAGAACGACCAATGTAGTTTACACAAACTAATAATTTTGTTCAGAACGACCAACTTATTTTATATCAACTGTTTTGTTCAGAATGTGAGAAAGATGTAATTTTTACTATAGTTTTACTTAACCTAATCATGATCTTAATGTAGCAAAATCTGCTACTGTTACATATCGTGTATATTAATGATAAATTACTCTTGGGAATTCAATGAGCTTTCGGCATATTTACCTTCAATAACGTGTCGCTTCGGAAGGATAGTAACCGCATCGACTGCAGCTACTTCCTGTCCGAACACCGGATGTACCTTAGCGCCCCAGCTATCGCTTGCAAGGAACCATAGTGTATCGGATCGGTTTGAGCGCATCAACGCCTGGAGAAGACGCTTGGAATTGTCTTCGTTGACGAACATTACTACGGCTTTCGCTCGGTCATTACCAATTAGCTTCATGACAGTAGTATCAAAATCTTCGTCTGTGGAATCACGCGAAATAGACAGTCGCTGGGCAATACAAATATCTACAAAGACAGAAAAATCACAATGAATAAGTATACATTCTTCAGGGCAAGAATATCTGGTTTCATGGAATACCTTTAAGTATCATCAGCTGACGAAATAACGTCTGAAAACTTGTCAGAAGGTCCTCTTTGTCGATTTAAATGTTAGAAAGATAAACTATTTTGAACATGTCTATATATCGTTCCCGCGTGATAAACATTGGAGCTTCTGTAGAATGTTTCAACATGAAGTCATATTACAGATCAATTCATGCACCCTATATCAAATGTTCCGGAGAATTTTCCAGTTTCATTACCCCCAAAGGTTTTATTTCACTTTTATTTTATGTGATACCTGTTTCAGTGCCAACATTGAAATAATTGCCCCGACTCTACAGCCATTTCGCGTTTTTACCATCCCGATATAGCCTTGTATGATAACCATACCCATCTGATGAAAATAGAAGACTATATCCTTTCCCCGTGGTAAATTATTTCAATACGGATTACATGATTATGCAAGCACGTAACAATCCGGTCTACGGCAGACAGACGGAAGTCACCAATGGAACGTACCGTTATTTCCATAATCAGATTCACCGTCTGCAATATCTTAATGATAGACATGAAATTGACAGCTGGAAGAAGTAATTGGCTATTTCTCTCATTCTTCTATGATTAAACAAATAAGTCAGGTATTTGACATTTAGAAAATCGTAGCTTAATCATAACATTGCTTGTATTTTCTTAGACTGTCCCATATTCTGAAAGTTCTACTCGTTAAATGCGAATATGGACACCATAGGGCAGTGCCGTTTAAGTACAGTTGTTCGCATGGTATTGATTGTGGCAAATTGCATGTTCCATGCGTTTTATTATTGCATTCTCGGCGTACGATATAGTGCTATCGACATCATGTGTATTTCCCAAGCCTATGGTCTGTGTTCGAAGGTAATGTTACAATGCTACAGAGAAATATCCTGGCGTGAAGTGCAAAATTGAAATTTGTTGTTAACCTTCAGTATATTGCCACTATTGAATACTGCAATGTAAACGTCACAGAAATGGTCAACCGCTTTACCGATATAGGGAACCAATAACCAAGGGTGAAAAAAAACATTTCTGAAAAAAAATCCTTCGGCTCAACTGTTTTGCATCACTTGTTAGTATTAATGAGTTAAATACATAATCGAATTCATATATACGCCCATATTACATCTGATATTACGAAATGATATCAAACATCAACATATATACCATAGACCATCGTGCACACACTGTAACTTCAAATTTCGTGCTTTAATAAAATAATTTCATACATGAATGACTGCTATCTGTCTGGTTCTAATAAGCAACAACTAGTTATCTTAACGAGTCATATTTTTGGCGAGAATTTTTTTTTTAACAAATCAAAAATTCACAGTCTGGTGGTAAGCGATATCTGATAAACTCATGTATTATGTCATGGATTTAATTTTCGCGATCACGTTACTGTACCGCCAAAAGGCGATTTATATGTGCGAAAATTAACGGTTATGCAGTAACATCATTCAAAATATTTAAACGTAGGGTATTGTGTATAGTACATCAAAATATGTAAAACATTCCTATTGCATGAAAAATTTGCTTTATCTGTATTTTCCAGTTTATATATTTACTGTAAATTACTTCTGTGACAGTAAGGAATCGATTTTGAGTTTAGATTTCACCTTTTTTTTTATTATGTAGGTATTTTTCGCTTTTTTTCAGGAAAACGAAACCTAAGTATTTGCATTAGAGATGAATTTCTTTAAAAATATATATATATACACAAAAGCTTGTTTTTTTTATCATGTAGGCATAACTGATAAATTTACTTGTACATGGATTGACCTCGGTGGCGCTGGTTTTCTGTATCAGAAGATGCATTATCGACAAATCTAAATCACGAATCAGGAGTATATTGTAACATTGTCAGTGACATGATAGGGGGTATGTGACACAAAGTCAATATCGTCTACGATATCTGTTTTTATAGACATATGCATGGTAACATTGCCTCATTGACGACATAAGATTGTGCAGAACGTTGGTCATTTGACGCCACAGAATTATGCTGAGTAATGTGACGTCATTTTAGCTTCACTAGAAATAAATTTCTGGGTACAAATATACTCAAAGAATAATGACGTAGTACCTTGCGTGTAATGTTTACTGTTTTGATAATAGCATTACTTTTCTCTCATGATTTCACATACGTATGACTTTATGGTGCTCCAGAGCAGTGATTTCTCAGCGGCTTTTCAATGCTCATGTAAATTATAAAAAAAACCTTGCTTTTTTCAGTTATGCTCCAGGCTTATTTTCAAATTTCACTCAAATACAAACATGCAATTCATTTAACGTGAAAACATATCCCTTTACCCACCGTTACTATATTTGTTTTCAAAAAAAAAAAGTAACAGATGTCATATTATTGCTACGGGTTTGTCAAAAGTTACCCCTGGCGAGGGCAATCAACTTGACTTCTAACATTCACCAGGTTTCAATTGCCGTTAAAACCTCCAGAGCACATGGCCGACCGGGACTTGGCATTTTTCAAAATCTATAAGTGATGAAGGGATTCGTCTTTTTGATTGGCGTAATGCATGTACATCCTATCCTTTTGACAGCAGTATATGGCCGTGTTAGCGTATTTATTGAATAAATAAATTGGTTTGGCTGTTCGGGAAAGGTCTTACTGGTCCTTGGACACCTCTGAGAGCATTACGGTGGACGGGCGCATATGTTGCGTGTATTTGTCGGTACATTTATTATGTAACGCTGTCGCCTAGTCGGTATATATGGAAATCGGATAGTCTGAATGGGTAATGGGTACTGCAATAATTGGTTCCACGTGATACGAAATACATTTATTCTGTTGAACATTGTTAAAGTCAGAGGCTAACTATTCAAATCTGCAGGATAGTTAATTGCACCTCAACTCCCCCCCTCCCCACCTCCACGCACCTCCAACCCTCCTCCCCACCCCACTTTTAGATTTTGGCATTTCTTGAGAATTTCCGAAATCGTATCATAGTGTTAACATTTAGGTACTTAACATCACTGATGAGGACAAAAGGACAAAACAGCTGTGTGATGCATTTATTTGATTGTTTGGCTCTAATAAATCTTATCTAAATGTTGCATGAAATGATGCTATTGACTTGTGTGTCTTTTATACACTCTTTAAAAAAAACCTTCAGTCAAAAATCATAATATTATTATGAAAATGTATCTTTGATGATGATTATATGATTTGAAAAATACCATCAATATAGTTAAAGATATTTTAATCCAATCAACATCGAGTCTACTGCAATATTGCTTATGTTGCACCTGGTTTTTGTTCTGATAATGCATTACTTAGCATGGCTTCATTTATCAGGTGTTTGTAGTCGATGACCAAGAGGAAGCTTACATTTCCAGAACAATCGTAATTTCTTCGTATTCAGAAATATTTACCAGTATGTGCCATTTTGTCTTAACATATATGGTATTGTTTCCACGTAGGTTATCATCTCGTTACTATATTTTAAAAAAATCACAACAGATCGACCTTCACCATTACAACATCCATAGTCATTTTCCTACCCTCACATATCTGAATCAAATAATTTAAACCCTCGAATCTTCCCTGAATCATTTATTTTATTCATTTTGGATGACGATACGGATACAATTTTGCCGTAAATTGATATAAATGTAGGTGTCAGTGCAAAATTCCTGTTAATTTGAAACACGGAAACTGAACAAACATTTCCACTGATTTACAGCTATATATATTATGTTGTATGGGCAAGAATCTTTCAAGGACGATTTCACAAATACGTGTTATATGTTGCGATTGGTGAAAATAGTCTTGTAATAAACAATTGTGTCTCTGAATGATGTTTTCTGCCGTGTTCTATAATGACTCCTGGCGAGCAATCACGAGTGAAAAAGTTGATGATCAAAGAACCTATTTTTAACAACGTCAAATATTCGTTACATTCATCGACACAAACGCACCATATTTGCTGATAGCAATTATTCAGAGTGTTAATTACTAATAATAACATATTTTTCTCATAAATGTGTCTTTGATCACTAGAATTGTAATATTGCTTTCGCCACACCATATGAAGGTATCCTACGACAGTATTGTACAGGGAAGCTGTTAACACTAGGCATTCAGTTGTACATGTAAATTGCAGTAGAACTTGATGCTAAAGCACAAAGCTAACAGTAACGTTGTCCCGGTAGGGTCGCTATCCGGCTCTCGTTCACACTAATTTCTAACTACTTGTTTCGGTTCGCTCGCCGATCGATAAAAACGTAGATAAACCTTTGTTATCTACAGATAGATTAGGGCACTGGTATTTGTTCTATTCTATACGATTCGATAAGTGATAACCACAGATTTGAATCATGTGAAGCATCACAATGTAGCGTGCTAGCTATCTTTTCTGAAATTTAGATATACGAAGCCAACAACAGCCCTTATGTGGTATACGCAACTCAATAAAAACCTGCAGCTCGCGCTACAGTGATATGCCTTAACATAAACAAATATCAGCGGATCCGGCGTATTGTTAATAAATATTTGATATACCTATAAACCAGGTATGCTTTCTATGGTGTCAGGCATTGCTTTGCAGTATTATGAAGTCATAACCATACTTTTTTGTCATTAGATAGCTGCAACTGTAGTTTCCATATTTCATATCAATAAAATCGAAATGTGTTTCGGGTACATGTTTGTTGTTTCAAGTTTCAAGGACGATGTGATACTTGCGTTTAATACATCATTATAGGGACCATGCAATTTTGTATCGACAACGTTACAAATCTGATCAGAGCTGCTTCCCCTTAAAGGACCTCTCTGTATCGTTATATTCTATAGATTATGCATTATACACCTGACTATTTTACCTGATGTAAAGATTCTGGTATACACACAAATTTGTTAAGGGCAAGTCACGAAATGTTTGTTACTTTTGTTCAAGTGTTTTGTTATGATA